TCATCATCATCATCAACAGCCTATAAATGCCCACTGCTGAGCAAAGCCTCTTCTCACACGGAGAAGGTTAGAGCATTAATCACCACGCTTGCTCAATGCGGGTTGGCGATTTCAAACTTATAATTAGAAATTATAAGTTCAGGTTTCCTCACGATGTTTTTCCTTCACCGTTTGTCAGTGGTGTCTAAATAATCTTAGAAAGTACATATAACTCGGAAAAAGTCACATTGGTACTTGCCGTTGGTAGGTTTCGAACCCGCACCCTCATGCATGAGAAGTGGGCGTCTTAAACCTCCGAGCCACCACGACTTAGGTACAGGTACGAGGTAACAGATAAGACAAAATTAAAACTATAAATATATCAAAAACTGTAAGCACACAGCAAGGAAATTATTAAAAGAAAGAAAAAACAAGTTGTGTCACCTATCTTAGCTTAGGCATTCCTTTAAATTTAGGAGAGGTTGTAATCCTTATCCTTACTAATATTATAAATGGGAAAGTGAGTTTGTTTGTTTGTTTGTTTGTTTGTTCCGCTTTCACGCCGTAACTACTAAACCGATTGCTTTGAATTCTTGCAGACGTAAAGTTAGAAGTCTGGATTAAATAATAGGGTCCTTTTTATCCCGGAAAAATTTGATATTCACGAGGGAAAACGAAATTATTGGTATAGATGGCGCTGTGTGTATTGGTATATGTCACGTAGGCTACTTTTTATCCTTTTGTGACGCGAGCGAAGCCGCGGGTAAAAGCTAGTGGACTTATATATTAACATCACGCTACAGTAGCTTAGGTACTGATTAGTTTAATATCACATGCCATATTAAAGTTAAAATTAATTTAAATTATTTTTAACTGAGTATTTCGCTTCTGTCGGCAGTTTCTCCTGCGTTTCTAGATAACAAAGTACTTATCATATGTGTTATCAGATTATAATCTTACTATTATTATAAAAGCGAAAGTTTGTGTCAAAGTCAAAGTTGACTTTGGGCTTTGACTTTGACACAAAATTTGACTTTGTCAAAGTCCAACTGGCATAACACATGGGATACTTTTTGTATTCGAAACATGTCGTACCTCCGGTGCTATACCGTCACTTATGTATTGCGGGGCCCGCGCGCAACTGAACAATGAAACGTTGTTTCTCCTAGTGCCGTCCAGATTAGCGCCAGAACCGTAACGACAGTAATGCCCTCACAATGTCAGTTTGCTTACTACACAAATGACAATAAATAACGCACCAAGTAAAGAGGTGAATTTGGAGTATTCTTTCATCAGTTAAGGTTTGACAAAAATTGCATAAGTGACGATATTGTACCGTAGGTGGGATATGTTTTTAAACTGTCAAACACCAAGCGGTCACCGGTGACCGCAACCTATTGTTCTATAATTGTGTCTATAATGACGGTACTCGACGAGTTAAAATGAAATGTCGAGCAAAAGTTTAGTATTAATTAATGAGGTGTATACTTATGTCTGTAAAATAGATATTTTGTACGAAGTGAACAATAAATGATGAAATATATAAATAGTTTTTTTTTAATATCACGTTATAATGCCAATCTCCAAATCCCCAATCCGTTGTTCCCTTATCCCCAAAAAGTCGGTAACGCACTAGTAACATCTCTAGTGTTGCGGGTATCCATGGGCGGCGATAATTGCTTACCATTAGGTGACTTACTAATGAATTCAACTCTTGAGTTGCAACACTAGCGCCCATTGCATCCGTATTGCGTGGATATTGAATTAACTAAATGGTATTGAGTTTGGCTTTATATTCCGTACTCTGAATGCTATTGTAACAGCTACGATTGTGGTTGTATAGTGTTGACATTGAATAATTATTGAGATTTTATTGGATTGAAATTAGTTTCAAGAGTAGGCGCCCGGTGACCCGTCTATTCGTTTCTATTAAAATCTAAAGTTTAGTTCGCCTCGCCCCCTATTACATGGAACTCGAACTGACCAGGGACCGATTTTTCAATCATTATTTAATTTTTAACTGTAGAATAAAATTGACATTTTGACAGTTTTTAGTATCTCCCATACTAAAAATTGTCAAATATTCAAAGTTATAGCTCAGATTTATCTGGTTTTTTTATATTTAATGGGCCGTTTGACCACTATCTCGCCCGATGGTAAGCAATGTCGTCGTTCCATAAGCAACCTATTCACTCGGGGCTTGAAGACACTGGCATTGGAGAAATCAGCCCTATAAGTGAAAGTTACAATACAATGGTTAACCTGTGCCAAAAGACGGTTATGTCAGTGATGGCAGATTATAAAACATTGGTCGCCACCTTTAGTCTTGTCGAGGGTCTGCACACTTCGTTCCCTTACGCGCCCCGCCTCCTCCTTAGCAAGCATAACTGATTCGCTGAAAAAGGAGACGGCATCCCAGTCCCCCTCGCTCCATGGCCTGAACCAGAGCCGGACGCGAGAGGTCGCCGTCGCTGACTACATCCCTGAGTACACGGCAATGCTCACCCTACGCAAGGCACACCGCCACCGGACTCTTCTGTAACCTGTGCCTTTAGCCAAACGCCACCTTAGCGCTTGTCTACCGAGAGAATAGAAAACTAAATATATGGGGATGACACTGACAAGTGTCAAAATTTACGTCAATTCTATATAATTTGGTTTTCTATTCTACATGTAGACAAGCGCTTAATGGCATTTGGCTAGTCGTGGAGAACCTAACGGGTAACCGGGGCTCCGGCTCGACGTGCAGGAGAAGGAACGGGGTGGTTTTTAGTCAGTAAGAGTCTGACACTCCCTCCCGCCTCACCCAGGCGGGAGCAGACATTCGATGATTTTCACCTCTTAAAAAAAAGTGGCATTTGGCTACAGCTGCAGGCACTTGTTAGATAGCCTTAGTGATAATACGACTCTGTAGACGAGGTTCATAATCCACCAGTTGTCTGTCACAAGCACGAGCTATTGATGTGATGTGATATGATTTTATCTTGTCTAGTAATAGATTAAAATAGTCTATAATTTTATCAATCGGAGGTATTAGATTAAGATAGCTTGGTGCCGTGATAGTATCCGCTGTGTTGCTGACAGTGGTTGGATTAGTTCAGTAGTAATTAAGGACTTTAACCTGACGACGGAAATGGCCTGATGATGATATAAAGGAGATAGCAAGTGGTATGATTTCTAATTATAGGTAGGTACGGGCAACGCTACGGGCTACTGAGACTTATGCGGGCGCTGGTATTTCCAATTTTCCTCTACGCGGCAGAGACGTGGACAGTACGTGAATTGGAAAAGGGGAAGATAGATGCTCTAGAGATGTAGATCTGGAGGAAGATGCTTGGTGTATCGTGGACTGAGTTCCGCACCAACGTATCCATACTCTGAGAACTCGGCATCACGAAGCGTCTATCAACCATAGTACAGACGCGCATACTGCAGTACTTTGGCCATGTCTCCCGTCGTGATAACAACTCCATAGAGCGACTGGTCGTTCAAGGGAAGGTAGAGGGAACCAGATCACGAGGCAGATCACCTATGCGCTGCACTGGCAACTGGAAACCCAGTGTCAGACTGCGCCAGACAATCCACAAACAGGGAGAGATGGCGGGAGATCGTGAGGAAAGCTGTATCGGCTTTCAACACAAATACGGCCGCCTCAACGTGACCACGACCGCTCTGCCAAGAGCGAAACGACAGAGAAGAGAGAACAGATTACGCTGCGGACTCACGACACGATTATCACCCGTGCCCGCCACGGTGATGGAATGGAGATTTATTTTCAAAACTCACGATACAGCAGTTTTCTGCGGTCTCGTAGCTACCGCGCTGCGGTTGCGACTATTGCTGGATTATCGCAAGACGGACGGTTAAGCAATCATTTGAGTTCCAGACCGGCCTTCCCATTGCCAGCCAGTTGAAAACTATCGTTTTTTTCTTCTCTATTAATATCTTGTGATTTATTTCTACAAGTCAACTAAGACAGTTCATGTCACTGGGTCGCATCGGACTTCAGTGTTTTCATGTTTAATAGATAGCTACCTCGTTGGCCGAGTGGTTGTCAACTGCGCCGGGCAAGGCATTTCGGTTTCGATTCCTGGGTCGGGCAAATTATTACTGAGTTTTAAAATATTCTCAGTAGTAGTTCGAAGTCTGGAATTGAGCCCGGTATATAGCAATAGACTCACCCCCTATTACATGGGACTCGTCACATAAATAGTGTAAAGTTGATGTTACATTGTACCTACAGTGGCATGAAATACCGTATGTGCACCTCTGCTTACCCGTTCGGAGATAAAAAGGCGTGATGTTATGTTCTAATTACGTACATAGTATCATAGTAAGAGATCCGCCTAATCATTTTAAAATTTGACTAGCTGGTGGCTGGGCAACTGGCTGCCGTGTAGCGGGTTTATTTTATTTTTTTTATTTATTTAACTTTATGCAATAAGAGTACATAGGCGGGCTTAATGCCATGGGCATTCTTACTAGCCAACCTTTAGGTGATGCAGTGAGAGCGTGGTCGGTGCAATAAGTTGACAACGAGTATCTAATATAATTTTTAAAATGACAGAATACATACAACGGACTATTGTAAATATAAATATATATTTCGGGTATCGGCGGGTTCGATTCCCGTACGGAAAAAGTCTTTGTGTGATCCACAGCTCGTCGTTCCGAGTCTGGGCGTCATGTGTATGTGAACTTATATGTTTGTAAATGCACCCACGACACAGGAGGAAATCTTAGTGTGAGGCAAGGGTCTAGCGGGTCTTATTAGGTGCAAGCAAACAATGACAAAACTTTCTTAGACAAAGAAAGTTTGAGCATTAATCACCACGCTTGCTCAATGCGGGTTGGTGATTTCAAACTTATAATTGGAAATTATAAGCCCTGGTTTCCTCACGATGTTGTCCTTCACCGTTTTTCAGTGGTGTCTAAATAATTAGAAAGTACATATAACCTGAAAAAGTAACATTGGGGCTTGCCGTTGGTAAGTTTCGAAGCTGCACTCCTATGCATGAGAAGCGGGTGTCTTAAACCTCCGGGCCACCACGACATAGGTACCTACGGTGGAAATTTTCCGCAGATGAAGCTACATAATGGTAATTATAATTAACGTTACAGTAAGCATTTTAATTATATTATCAGTAATCAATTTTAATTTACAAATAATTAAAAAATGATTTGATTAGAAGGTCGCACAATTTCACAGTGGAGCATTATCTGATTGTAAGTGCTATATACCACTGGGACACCACGGTGGCGCAACCAGTCGCGCCACCGTGGTGTTCGTAAGCTACCACACTATACATAATACAGTGTCGCGGAGAACCTAACGGGATACCGGGGCTCCGGCTCGACGTGCAGAAGAAGGAACGGGGTGGTTTTTAGTCAGTAAGAGTCTGACACTCCCTCCCGCCTCACCCAGGCGGGAGCAGTCATTCGATGATTTTCCTCCCTTGAAAAAAAAAAAGACATAATACAGTAAGGTCAGACTGGGAGAAAATACCTGCGGAATTAAGTCCACCTATTTTACATCGAGTGCATGAACTATATCTAAATAAATAAAAATGAATTTCCGTTCCTGCCCGTCGAAGGCGTCGTTGAAACAACCGCCGCGGCGGCTAATATGTTGATTCCCTGCCTACAATATTGGTAGGCAAACTTTTGGAGTCATGGGCGCATAGAGTGGGGAATATAGGCGCCCACATAATCACCTCAAGGATGACGGTGGCACAGTAGTCACGTGGCACGTGCACTGCACAGACAGGCTCCTAGGAGAGACACACAGGTCTCCATAGGGAGGTGCCGTGCTGTGGAAGCTCCGGTTGGTCTACTAAGAGGACCCGGTGCCTCCTTCAGGTGCGTAGTGGCCACCAGGGAGGTTTTAGTGATGTAAAAATCCCATAGACCCTAGTCTTTTTTCATGGGTCTGCGGACGGCGAGCATGGGTGGCTCCCCGTCCGACCAGAAACAGACCCGAGCATACGGCGCGTCGCGTTCCGCGCGCGCCTCTAAGAGCCATCAGACCACCACAGATGGGGCCCTATAGGGCTGTTGCCGATTCAGAGTCGCGGAGAACCTAACGGGTAACCGGGGCTCCGGCTCGACGTACAGGAGAAGGAACGGGGTGGTTTTTAGTCAGTAAGAGTCTGACACTCCCACCCGCCTAAACCAGGCGGGAGCAGTCATTCGATAATTTTCCCCCATTAAAAAAAAGTCGTTTTCCATAAAAAGCTACACGCATTTTGAAGGTTCCCCCCGTCAATAAAAAAAAAAATAGCATGACAACCACTTCATCCTACGTCGCTGAAGACTTGGTCCTTGGCTTAACTCTTTATAGAGCTTCATATATATTTTGTTGTTAGCCGCGACTGGTTACGTCGCCATGGTGTACCGGTAAAATATAGTCCTAATTTGAGGAATATTAAAAAAATATTATAACTACTTTCTTTTTTAAGCTAAAAATACTTAATTAATTAATTACCTAACGATTATTCACCGGGTAGTACGTAAGTAGTGAGCCCACTTCTACTCTTGCAGTGGGTATCTAGTGACAAAAGTCTTTAGGGTCACTAAGGGACTACACATTAGACAGAGACTCGGCAGCAGCGCTCTCTGATAAACCTGAACCTTTTATACTGCGACCTCCAACGTAATTAATAAGTTTCAGAGGAATTCCTATATATTTCCATTCCTAGGAAATGGCAGCGTCTGTGCTTGGCGTACTCTTGGCTTTATTAGCTGTTTCTACAGGTATGGTACTTTAATAGCATAACATCATACATAACATCACGCCTTTTTATTTCTAAAGGGATCGGCAGAGGTGCACATTACGGCACTAAATGCCACATAACATCCAGTTTCCACTATTTATGTTATGAGTCCCATGTAATAGGGGGTGAGCCTATTGCCATATACCGGGCACATTTCCAGACTCCGTGCTACTACTAAAAACCCAGTAGTACTTCGCCCGACCCGGGAATCGAATCCGAGACCCCTTACTCGCAATTGCGACCACTCGGCCAACGAGGCAGTACATTGTTCCGTTGAGGGCGCTTACTTTTGAAACCAATCTTAATGTCAATTCAATTTCAATCCAATAAAATCTCAATAATCCTACAATTTCAAAAATATACAACCCCTATCGTAGCTGTTAAAATAGCATTCAGAGTACGGAATATAAAGCCAAACTCAATACCATTTAGTTCATTCAATATCCACGCAATACGGATGCAATGGGCGCTAGTGTTGCAACTCAAGAGTACGAAATTTCACAACATCAACGTCGATCGATCGGAATTAGATTCATGAGTAGGTAAGCCCCCAGGAATCAAATCAGAGCGCGTCATATGTTTACATTTTTACTATCATCAAATTGGGCATCCCCCACGCTCAGATATTTATCAATGTAATATCAATCTTTTACATCTTATCTCAGAGTACAATTTAATGATATATCTACTAAATTATCGTTTATCATATAAATATCAGAAATCATAACATTAATACATTATAATCCCCAAAAAGTCGGTAAACGATTTTCCTTATAATAACTTCCTTTCATTTACCTTATAAAAACGCAAGTATGGGAGAGCCATGCTTCAGCACGAATGGGCCGGCTCGACCGGAGTGATACCACGGCCTCACAGAAAACCGACGTGAAGCAACGCTTGCGTTGTGTTTCGTCGTGTGAGTGAGGTTACCGGAGGCCCAATTACCCTCCCCTTCCCCAATCTCCCTAATTCCTACATCCCCAACGATCCTCAAACTCCTAATCCCCAAACGGCTGGTAACGCATTTGCAACGCCTCTGGTGTTCCAGCTGGTGTACATGGGCGGCCCTGCTTACCATCAGGTGATCCGTCTGCTCGATTCCCGGCTTATTACCATAAAAAATTGGGGCGTAATTGGGACTCCGGTAACCTCACTCACACGACGAAACACAACACGAGCATTGTTTCATTATGGTTTTCTGCTCGGCCGTGGTTTCACCCCGGTCGAGCCGACCCAGTCGTGCCGAAGCATGGCTCTCCCATATTTAAAAGTTCCTTCATTCACCAGGTTATCATGTTATGAGTACCTTGTAATAAGGAGTGAGTATATTACCATGTACCGACACACAATTCCAACCTTTATGTATGTTAGATAATTACTGTCAATGTTGACTGCGTGGTTGGCGCAGTGATGTGACCACCTGCGATGCAACGTGTCCAGAAAAAAGTGGTAATACCATTTTCTGAGTAAAATTACCATTGCTTGAACGGAGCCTGGGAGTTCGGTGAATGCCGTGCCATACAAAATGTCAATGCATTTCCGTATTCCCAATCTCCTCTTTCTCCAAATCTTCAATCCTCAATAGGCATGGCGACTATTTTTTAATTTTTTATCCGTCTTTTAGATATTTTAAAAATCTTCGATACGTATTTTTTCTTTTTTCTCGTATCCAAAAAAACATGTAGATATTTTGAGTTAAAATGACGCGTGACGTCACAATTAGGTACGATTTCTCCGTAAGTGTGACGTCAACACCCCCCACTCCCTAACTTTAATGCGGAATAACTACGTATTCTTCTGTTAATTTGATAAAACAAAAAATACGTGTCTGATATTTTCGTGCGATCATAATGACGGACTAATTACTTTTTTGATTTTTTTACCCTGTCGACACGCCTATTACCTAACGCTTCAAAAGACTAGCAATGCACTGGTAACTCCTCTGGTGTTGCGGGTGTCAATGGGCGGCGCTTGCTTACCATCAGGTGATTCGTCTGCTCGTTTGCCGCTCTGTGTCATAAGAATATACCGTATATGTACCGTGTTCCGTATTTATCTGGGACGCTAGCGCTCCCCGTCGGCGCTCGACGGAATTAACGATTCGTCGTCTGAGCGGCGTGCTCGTCACTTCTCGTGCAGCAGCCGACCAGTGCGGTCGAATATTGAAACCGACTCGCGTTCCTACTGTGTATCTATTCTCTAACCTGTCAATTTGACATTGTAATAGTGAATTATGAGAACAATGCAAATACACGCTTATATAGGTACATTTCAAAACTTACTAAAATAAAATAAAAAATAAAACAAAACAAAAAAAACATCTTATAGTCTAACATGCTTACATTTGCATACTGACAATCCATAAAAATAGTGCTTCTATACAAGAAAAAGGAAACTCTTTGTTTAAACAAAGACATTTTTGAAATCGGACCATCTTCCAGTCATCGAGAACAAACATAAAAAAAAATACAGTCGAATTGAGAACCTTCTCCTTTTTTTGAAGTCGGTTGAAGGAAACTCTTTGTTTCAATAAAGAAAGAAATGCTCGATGCTATAAGGAAACTAGATTGTCTCTATTTGTTGAGTGCAAATGAGACTATTAATATGTGTGCGTGTGTGCGTGTGTTTGTCATTACTTTCACGTCAGAACCGCTGAAGGGATCGAAATGAAATTTGTTTTTTTTTTTAAGGGGGGAAAATCATCGAATGACTGCTCCCGCCTGGGTGAGGCGAGAAAACCCATAAAATAAATAGTGAAAAGTCGATGTTACATTGTGGCAAAGTGCCGTAAAGTGCACCTCTGCTTACCCCTTTGGGGATAAAGGCGTGATGTTGAGTTTTATGATATTATTATAGACTTTTTACCCTACGGGCAAAACCGCTAGCCGAAGCTAGTATTATCATATTTTCTTCTATCAACAACAAGTAAGTTCTCATGGTCTTCTCTTACAGCTTGGCCCCAAGAATATGGGGTAATTATACTAGACTCTGGTCCTCGCTTCCAGTATATGTCAAGCCCTCAAGGTCTCGAGGTGGTAGACCTGGCGTGGAAACCGAGCGATCTATTCAATAAGATCGTATTCAACCCTGAAACAGATGTCTACTTCCGTCTTTTCACCAGGTACCTATTTTATTGTTTGCCTATTTAAAAACGTTGCCCCACATTAGGATTATCTCCTGTGTCGTGGGTGCGTTTACAAACATACAAGTTCACATACACATGACACCCAGACCCGAAACAACAATTGAACA